GGGGGGGGGTCGTACTGACACCAGCTTTCACACATCACGATGCTGTACCCTGTCTTAGCAAGAGGAGGCGTTCCCCACGAGAAAAATGGTCAGTTGGCACTATTTACCCTTTAGTGCGCCAATCCTCCAAAATCAGGCCACTTTACCGAGTTTTCTTTATACTTGGCTGAAGACTTGTCTCCTGAAGTACACTGACCACCTCAACATGAATGACACATCCACTTGGATCGAAACCGCCTGGCGCCCGCGCCATAGTCGCCGGCGCCAAAATGCCATATACCACCTAGTTCGGTAAACTTTTTCCCAGGTGTAGTTCGACCTCCTGAACGCGAATTTCACATTAGCAAGGGGTACCATGCCAGGCAGTTCGGCGCCCACTGGACGGAAGACAAATTTTTAGCCAATTCCCCCGCGTAGGCTTAAGCCGGTAGAAAAAAAACCCCGGTCTTTGGTTCCTTCTACAGATCATCAGATGATCGCGCAGTGCCCCTCAAGGCCCTATAACATACATGAGCCAATTCGTAGCCACCATCGGAAAAGTGCACGGTTCAAACAGAGCGAATATCTCCCTTTTGAAAGGCCAAGTGCTGGGAAGCAGTCAACGAAGTCATTCGCCGTATTCAGTTGCAACCCAGAAACAGCCGTGGAAGTGACATCCCCAAAGTCAATAGCGGCAAATTGAATACAGTTTTTAACGAGTTCTGCAAATTGATTTACAAATTTGTCGCTCTCAGTACCCTTGCAGAATATCCAGAATAAGCCTCTAACGACATTGGGATCCAGTAAAAAAGGTTAATCAGGGCTCAAATTCGGCCAGAGGGTCAGGGCCTCACTTTGTAAAGCGGAACTTGCCCACTTCAACCGAACCGTCCATCCCTCACACTTACATGATACCACGGGAGGATAAGATTATTACTTGGACATTAGCAAGCCACAATAACCACTGCATCATCCAAATTCGCATCCCAGCGCTTTGGTGATTTTCAAGGGAATGCAAAAACATGGCACTTTCCAAAGAGGGTCAGCCTGCTTCGCTTACTTTGCAGCTTCCTTCGTCCCTTGAAACTCCTAAACAGGACTTTCAGTGATGGCGGCCATCTCGCGAAACCCTCCCTGATCATAAATCGCGGTACAATAGAGGCCTCTCTCGCTTGCGGGCTGACTTTTGGAACGCGCCATGCACCCCTTCCACTAAAGGTCAGTACGGCTCTTGAGCGCAATTTGGCTAACCAAGAATTCCGGTACACAAGTTAGGGCTTTGAATCGACCCATGTTATGACCCTGGACCGTGCGCTTACCATGTGGGCGTCCTGGGTCGTAATTTGCCACTACATTGCCTCTGCCTACTAGCCATTCAGCCAGTGACTAAATATTACCTGCTCGTTTTTCTTGGCACACTCGAGAGCAGCAGCTAGATTTCGCCTCAGAGCTCGATCTTGTCGGCGTGCCATTCTTGCTTGTTCCTTCGCCAATAATCTAGCCTGCCTCTCCAAGCGCTGCTCATCTTGCGCTTCTTCATAGTCCTTCCTCATCCCATAACGCCCACTTGCACAGTCCGTATAACACTCGTGCCAATACTGTGATTACTGTTCCCACAACCTGAAACTCATTCGAGCTGGTTTTACCTGAGCCTCTGACTTCACATGATTCATATAGGTAAGATTAACCAACCTTCCCAAAGAAGTAGATGATCGGTAAAATGATGAATAGGAGAATCCCCCAGAATGTAGCAGTCGGCCGATACTCCAGACAACAGGACGGTGCTACCATACTGCTGTCGTAGGGGTACTGTAATTGATAAATTATTCTTGTGACATTCTCAGCTTAGGCACAGAAACGAAAAACAGTAGGAACTTGTACTTCTACAGTATCACACACCCTAATTCAACACCACTATCGCTGGTTCATCTTCTATACTCTAATCGGATTGGTTTAGGCGCTAAATGATTAGTAAAGCTAAGCTCCGGCCAACTGTGAAGAGAATGTAAAAGCGACTCACTTGCACCACTTCTTAGGTCCACAGGAGTTTACAGATCTCACCAAAGTGTACCTGTCAACTAACGTGAAAGCAAAAAGAACTAACGCAAGTCCAAAATGCCCCTCCCAAGTCTGACAGGGACCTCTAATCTATGGATTCCTAGCTAGATGAGCAAAAAGTGAAACGTGCACAACTCACAGGGAAGAGAGCTGTTCTCATAACTGAAATCATTTTGCCATAATCTCTTACTATCAATACTTCGTGCTTTTGGAAATCTCTTGGTAAAACGCTCTTCCATCATTTGGCCCTAGGGTTGAGTTGCCATTATGCAATCGACCCTGCGAAAGTGGTACGCATCCGCCTCCATAAACTGCGTGGGCGGAGACGGTCAACCATTGTCTCTTCATCAATGGTTCGTTAGCGAGCAACTCGTTCCGAATGATGAGGGGAGCCGCTGCAACCAGGCTAGCAGGATAGCTGGCTATCCCTTTCCACATGGTCAGCGTGACTATGCCATTAATTTTCAATCTCCTCAGCCTATCCCTAGGTTAAAATTTCCGTATTTTGCAGCCAAGGGGGAACGAGTGGCACAACATTCGAGAGGAAGGTGTTGGAGAGAGAGGTGTAGAAATTGCAGAGCTTAATTAACTCGAATAATAATCGAAACCGGTCGAGGAATCTTCAGAAAATAGAAATTCCCAAAAGAATAAAGCTCTGATTTCCATTCTTTGGCTTCACCAACTTGATAACGAAATGAAGAGCTCACGATTTCGAATGCTATCAAACGCCACGGCGCATCTCAGTGGTGTTCTCAGTGCAGACAATCTTGCCCCATCTCAAGACCTTTCTTTAACATGGGAGAAAGACCCCAGCACCTTTTCCTGTAAGACTTCTCGCTTACTCGGACTGGAGAGCAGGGCACCTCCTGGCGTCAAGTAGAGTATTGCTTTAGTATGACCCCTCTGTGTCTTATCCATTGGTACGAGTACTGTTATGCAGTTGGGACGGAATGGGTAGAACTCCTTATCACAAGTTGAAATATCAGATAATAATTTGTGAGCGTAAGGTGGTGTGTGGTAGGGATTATACCACGACAAAACTGAGAAAATCTCAGCTTGGAAACATCGCTCCTGCAGGTCCGAATACCGCACCCACTCCCCCCCCCCCGCCACCTCTCCTTCTCGAGGGCTCTCCAAACGTACGCGACGTGTCCCTGTTGAGAAGTACAGTTCTGCCCCTTTCTTTTGGTTAACCAATGAACTCTAATCAGACATGCCAAAGGCTCCCTAGAGATCCAGGAGGAACATGGGTACCTGGTTCTGTTGACGGTGCAGGTGAGATACTATTTACAGAACCCTTCCGCCCCTGCCACTGTACTGTCAAGTAATCTTGGCCACCTATCAATGAAAAAATTGAACTAGCAGAATGAATTATAGGCCGCGTAGTCATGAACATTCATTTGAATGGGGTTCTTGCTAGCCAAGCAACGGTGTAGGCGATATTCCGACCGCACAAACTATAATTACCCTCAACTCATTATCGGGAAGATATTAAGGAAAATGCGTTCCAGGTGGAAAAACCTTTTATGCCACTGAATGGGCTGTACGGAATTATGACCGTAAAAAGCTCGCGTAGGTTCTCTTAGCCTTTTCGAATGCTACAGGAGGTTGCTTCAACCTTCAATAGTTCTGATTCCAATCGTTAAAGGCAGTTGGCACGATGGTTTCCTACTTAGCCTAAAATGCTAGTAGGGCGCTGTATAGTGGGGAAATGGCGAAAGAACGTGAACGGTCAAAATCCTGCGAAGAAAAAGCCTCCGTTCTCAGTGACTTGTAAATCGATTTCGGACGAGTTTCCCGTAGGCATCTTACCAATCACCGCTACCGAAGATACGGCTGCATATGTGTACCCATGTATGCATGCAGCATCACGGCCGCTTCATACCAATCCCTTCGCTTCATAATTTGCTTAGCAAATGAATGAATACGAGCGTCAGGAACGGTCGTCCATTTGTGGGCGGGCGGGCGTGGCGGGCGTTTGGGACGTAAAGTTGTGGCTTGATAGGTAAAGTTGTGGCTTGATAGGGCCCTTATAAGGGCACCTTCCTCGGGAAACCGCTATGCAGCGCCTGCCCAGGGTCGCGGAATTCTATCCTGCCAGGAGTATTGATCCTAGTCGTCTTGGGGGATTTATCGTGCCAACTGCCTTTAACTATGCCCTGCAACTATCCAATGAGGGGATTTTTGTCTTCATCTTATTGATTTCCAGAATATTACGGTACACCTGCGCCACCTAACTTCCAGGTTGGCAACGAGGTGCTGGTCCGTTGCCACCCCATCCCAAGCGTGGACATTGGCACGTCACCTCATGGTGGTGATTACGTCCCGTACCTACTGACACTATTCCTGCGCCAAATTGAAGTCAAATGCGTGGCGATTCTCGAAAACCCATCTCACTGAGCATAACTCGTGACTTTGCCGCCACATAATAGGGAGGACCGCCACATAATAGGGAGGATTCAAGAGGTCTATCACACAGCTCCAACTGAT